AACTAGGCTGCCACTCCCTAAACTAGGCTGCCACTCCCTATTATCTTATGCAGATTGGATTGCAAACACTATTTCTGGCAGGGAAATCTGCTGCATGTTGATTCCTAAAAGAAAAAAAGACCATATCAAAGTCCAGCTGCAGCAGGTTTACCCTCCTCCTCCTCGGTTTGCAGCTCAGCTCAACCTTAAAGCTACAAGCCTCAGTCTAAACACACTCAGTCATGTATCTAAAAGAAGATAGGGCAGCAGTGTGACATTTAGAGAACTGACGTGAATGTCTTAAAGCCATTTGCTTCACTCACTTTGACACCTTCCTGCTGGCTGGCTGGTGTTTGAGCTGCAGATTTCCATACTCGGTCTCAGTTTCCTGAGGAACAAACAAACAGTGGTGTTTCACACATGTCTGTCACAGAATTGGTCAGAGAGGCTGTGCTTTAAGTTCAAAGACTTTCTGGTAGATTGTGTCATCTCAGTGGGTCAATGTTCAGCTTTAACAAGTTGCTCTGATTGTGTCACACTCTGCTGGCATTGAACCAGCCAACTCTGCTTTTATATTATATAAAAACACAAAGAATGGAGGGGTTCAGTTTTCTCACCTTTGAGGCACTGTCCTTGACTTTAGTGGTCTGTATATACTCGGAAATGGCCAGGTAGATGAATTTATACTGGGCCTCGGTCTGGACCATACCAGAACGCTGCTCCCGCACCATCTGTATGTATTTTGGGATGTCTATATCACAGTCTAGACCTGCAGTGAGGCCAAGAAGTTAACCAGGAAGGAAGTTAGAATAAAAAAAAATCTGTAAAGACAAAATGATTCAGTTTCTTTTTTTACCTAGACGATCAATGGTATCCAGGATCATATCAATCACAACGATGGTACCCGTCCGACCGATTCCAGCACTGCAAACATTGACAGGAGAAAACGATGAAACATGGACGGAGCTGAAAAGCCAGCAAACACCAGTCTGATAACATGTCGAATGACCTTTTGATGTCGCAAATATCAGCATTTAAATAATACCTTAATGAGCTCGAATACAGGCTATGAAAACCAAAACCAAACTGGAATACATGTTGGATTTAGTTTCATCCAACTCTCCAGAGGCCTCATTTTTAGCCCATTTGTAAAGCATATAGGAAACAATTTCATGGTGACCTTATAGTCGACATTTCAAGCTTTAAATATGGAGACAGGTGTTAATACATTCTTGTTTTCAAGGTTGCATGGAAAACCTGTGAAAAGCCTAACATTTAATACCAATAAACAGTTTTAGGGATATGTGATATATCAGTTGCTGATAAGAAGTCACTTATAAATAACATTAAAGTTGAAACAGAAAATATTCCATTTCACACTGTGTTAATATGGAGGTTAAGTAATGTTAGTTCTGCGAGAACATGCTGACAAGAATAAAAAGTCATTATCACATCTTTTTTTAAATAAAACGGCGTAAGAGTATTGTTTTTAATAGCTTTGTTAATAATAACAACATGATTTTAAATATAGTGATTCACAGTTTATTGAAATTTTTACTATAGTTAACAGTCTGTTTAAATGCTACTATGGAAATACTTTTTATAGCAGGATAAAATACACATTAACTGGTGTATATGTTTGATATGAACACACAGCAGAAAGATGCAACCAACTTTTTATGTTCTTTGATATAACTAAACTTTAAGCAATATTGGGTATTTTTTCCCTCATACTTTGGAGCCCCTTTTTCAATTAATATTTTTAATAAACATTTTGTTCTGTTTTTGTGAAATGAGTAATAAACGAGGCCTTAAATTCCACAGAAAACTAACCTCAAGAGTTAAAGCTGCAGTCATCAAGTATTACCATTTAATACAGGATTATGAAGCATGCGCTTTGAAACAGCAAACACACCATGACGCCATGCATAGCACCATTCTAGTTCAGGGTTTACCTGCAATGGATGATCATGGGACCAGCATCAGGGTATTCAGCCTGTTTAGCATTGACTTGTGTGAGGAAGCTGAGGACTCCGCCTGGCTCCTCAGGGACGCCGTGGTCAGGCCAGCTGAGGTACTGATAGTGCCAAATTTCACGGGAAAGTTTGGGCTGAGGATTAAAAAAAAAAAGGGACTCAGAATATTAAAAACAAATTTGTTCATATTAATGTGCATAAAGGTAATCAATGGCAATGTCAGAGGTTTGAACATTACCTGGTCCACAGGAGCAATCTTCAAAACTCTGACTTTGTAATCTGTAGCTTGCCTCTCATCTTCAAAGAAAACTTTGTAATCACCATAATCCTGGGAATCCTGCCTTTGAGGATCAGGCCAGTACGGCACACATTTATTCTGCAGATCAATAAAAAAGTTCAGTTTTCAGTGTTGTTGTTTCTTTTTTTGCTTTGTCCTGCATATTTGGAGCACACAGTCATCCTTGAATCTCTTGACAGAACTTTTCATACTTTAGGATATTCCTGCGTTTTACTCATGGATTGAAAAATGATTAACCATTGTAGAACTTCTTGGTCACATAGAAACCACAAACTTCAGTTTATGCTGTTGGGCTTTTATGCAACAACCAACTCTGATTCTTCATGTCTACATATTTCCAGCTTGATAAAACACTCACCATTAACTTCGACATTAGAGTCGTAAACTTTCTCACTCATCTTGTGCCCCACCTCCACGACTACCGTAGCTTTTAGACCCATCCATTTTTCTATCAACTCTGATCAACTTCTCCATCCCTTAACATTCCCAAGCATGAAGCTACTGCCACTATGAATGAAGAGAACTTAAGAACTCTTCAAATCCAAGTTGTTTCACTAAAGTGGATCAATTAAGAGATTAAATCTAATGCACCACTTTACTCTGGTGCATTGAGATCAACATTGGGTTTGTTTGAGACATTTTGCACGTAGGGACTAAAACAATAAATGTCAGCTTCTTCAGAGCAGAGCATGTTCTTCGACATGTTTGCTGTGCGCCTGAAGCTGAAAGCAGGGCTTCCTATGCACTATTTTAACAGTGCTGCTTTCTTCCAAAAGTTATATAAACCTCTGAGGCCTTCTCACAATAATCTTATTTATACTAAGATCTAATTTCCAACATGGATTCTCTGTTTAATAACAGTATGGCTCTTGAAAACTGATTTTATTTTGGGATACAGGGTAAAGGGGCTTCTTATAATTCTTCAGAGCGCTGCACTGCCGATTCTCTTTAAAAGAATAGTCTGACCATGGAACCTGGAATTTTCAAGTAGTCTTAAAGTTAATTACAAAAGCCTAAAACACAATTAAGTTTTTTTTTAATTATTATTATGGGTGATGTGCTTGAATACTGGTTGATGTCTGGACACCTACCCGGCCCTTTTCAACCTCTCTTGTCGTCATTACGATCACACGCGTCTCCTCCTGCCACACCATTTGCCAGAAATCATTCACAGTTGTTGCTAGGCAACCCTGAGTGGCGATGTACATTTTATTTTCTTTCTCCCAGAGTTTGTTCTGTAAAGAAGCATTAGAGAATCAGTGCACAAACAAATCAACATGCATTGTGCTGTCAGTCCTGCTACAAGGCTCAGGTCTTTTCTGGACTTACTTTCACATAGTTGGCATTTATGTAATCTGAGCCGACCACATTGGGATCAGCGTTCTTAAGGAGGACTCTGGTGTCATTAACTTTAAAGAGAAAACAAGAGATGGAGTGAGGAAACGGTGTATTTGGTGACAGTTTGAAGCAGAAAGTGTGGGCTTTAATGGCACAATCAAACTCACATGGCAGAATGTTCTTGTATCTGTTTTTGCTCTTATTTTCGGGTCTTTGGCCTTCTTCTCTGCTCTTTTTCACCTTTGCCTCCTGCTTCTGAAGAGTCTGCAATCAGAGGAAGATATTTGAGTCACAAAACTGGAATGAATATCGAATTATATTACCTAATCATTAGGTTGCATAATCATAACAAAAAAAATAAAATAAAAATAACACTAAGAATTTAATCTTAATTTCCTTAACAGAACAAAAAGCAATACATATGTATCATATTCTAGATAGAAAGAACTAAAAAAAATGGTAAGGGGGGATTTCATGCTTTTTACCATAGACTTCATTATATTTGGGTAGTTTTGTGACATTAGGTTTAGGTATGGATCATGTGGGGTTAGGTTTAGCACATAATAAGCAATAGTAGACCCTTGAGTCACAATAGGTCACTGGCGTAACTTTCTGCAGGACTGGTGTGGACATGTCCCCACCAACTTTGGGCATGGAGGGGACAGTCCCCACCAATAATTTCCAATTTTTTTCCCCCTTTCCGCTGATTTACTTTAGCCAACAGTAACTGGGTTGGCTCTCCCGCTGCTCTCGAGTCCCACCTCTTGGTGAAATATCGTCGGATCTGTCGCTTTGGGACATAATATTATTTGGGTTCGCATTTCACTGCGTAGAGAGTAACTACGTGGAGAAAGAGAGACACAGCACTCTGTGATTATTAACCGGCAGCTACTTCAATATATGTTTCAGTAAAAGTTAGGAGGTTAGGTTGGTTAAAAAAATTAGTGATGCCACCGAAAAATCTGTTTGTTAAAAACTACAGTTTGTATCAAGACTCACTCCAACTTGCTATGAAAGCATGTAAAAATAAGCTGCTTTAATCGCCCGCAGCAGAAAAGCTATTCATGTAAGTTTTTTCTGGGTGATGTAACAATATCTTTGAAGCCAAAACCAATACTGATCCCAAATCAGAAGCAGTACATCTGTTAAACATGAGGAGGGCACCAAACAGACAGTTTTAGACACAAAAGCAGGTTCATGACAAACGTGAAGCAAATTGTTCAAATATAAAGGGGGAATGTTGACAGAACTTTGACTTGTCCATTAAGCGGTGTCTCACAAAATGCAAACAAATTAAACCCAAATCAGCTTTTGTGGTCTAATTATGTTTTATATTTCTGCTCAAATCTCTCAGTCCAGCTTTGGTGTTTGTCTGAAAAGGTAAAATAGTCCTAGGCCCTTTTAGTTCTCTGACATTTGTCTTGAAATGCTGCAGAAAAAATACTTCAGCATGGAGTGCAGTGTTAAAAAAAGAGGAAATTTAACAAGAAAAGACAAAAGAAGAAGTGTGAAGCTCAATCCCCTGTCGCAGGCAAACAAAACCTGAAAGAGTGGATCTTAGGAAACTTGAAAAAATTCTGTAAACTGTCGACACAGGATCTGAACAAGACCTGAACTCATGCAGCAACTGTTCATTTGGTTATAATCACAGTTCTGGGAGAAACTGTTCCATTTTGGCCCCAAAGGTAACAGCAGCAATCTCTGGGTGTTTGTGACAGGCTACTAAAAATAAGGGTACGAAAAAGATAAAATTTAAAGGCAAGCTGTTTGGTCAACTATTACATGTAGAGGTGGTCTTAGTGATTAAACAGCAATCACATCTTCAAAAAAGTCGTAAAGCAAAGTATGGGCAAATCAGAGAAACCCCGTACTATCTCAAATATATATATTTAAGTCACAAGATAAACTTTGCATTTATTGTTATTAATTTAAACCAACTATTCAAAATGAAATGTTATTCAACTATTGCGTTTAAATTCTAACCACACGATCATTGTGAAATATCACTAATAAATATTCTAATGAGTTGTGGTTGCTGGTAAGCCCAAACATCCTTATTCTAGTTTCCCAACCGTGAGTTTTCTTTGTTTTACTGACAATTTCTGCTTCACTTGCTGAATTAGGTTTAGGATTTGCAACTGGTCAGAATATGAACATTTAATATTCAGCAGTAAGTTCATTTCCTTTAACTGTTTGGGGAAACAGAGCTCTCATTTACTTAACCCATGCAGTTAATTCAGAACATCAATTACTGGTTTAAAGGTTTTTAAGCTTCTAAAGGTGTGAAAGATATGCATTTTTCTTTCAACTGTTAAAATCAAAGCACCCTAAGCATTGAAATAAATGTGACTAAAGATTAAATCTTACGTCAAATTCTTCCCAAAATCCGGCCTTGCTTTTTTCCCCTTCGCCCTGAGGCGGCTTGTCCGTGATGTCCAGCTGCCTTACTCTGCTGTCGATGTCTGCTGCGTTCACCCTGGTGGAGAAATACGGCTGCAGAAAGATGAAAAAGGAGACATGATCAAACAAATGCTGATGAGAGCATAATAGCATAGCTCTGAAAAGTCAGAACGCAAATGTGAAAGTTAATTTTAAACTCATCACACAGAGCTGAGTTGCACAGATCAGTGCATTTTAAATAGTGAACCAGACCTGTTTGAGATGAACCCAGGTTCCAGAGATCTCCTCAATGCCTTTACGCTTGTAGTGGTCCACCAGATCAGTCAGCGTGTCAAACAAATCTGAGCCTCCAATTGTGTACCGATCATTCTGCAAAACAAGCAACAACACTTGACATGTCACATCTAATCTACTTGATCAGACATTAAAGAAAAAAACATCAAAGATGAATATAAAAATGATACAATAAACAACTTAAAGAATATCAATTAAATAAACTATATAATGGGTTATTGTCAATCTATAGGTCAAAAACTTTGATTTCTTCCTTTTCCTTTTTTTGTTTTTAATTACAACAAACTTTGTTGGACTTAATGGATATTTTATGTCATAGAGGGAAAAAAATAGTGGAGAAGTAGTGGAGAGTGGAGAAAATTCATTGCTTTCAGTTCAATATTTCTCAAGAGTTGCTTGCAAACCCCCTCTACCATGGAGCCTCTGAATTAAAATCACGTGCAGTAAATCCCTTTTGGAAGTCAGCTACATTTCAGTACACCGATAAAAAAAAATTGCATTATAAACACAGCTGTTCTGTAAGGGCATTTACTGGCCTAACGTCTAAAATGAGCAGCAAACCTATGACGACATGGCCGCCCACCAAAACTGACAGACTGGGATGGAGAGGCATTAAGAAGTAGGCAGGAAGAGAAAAGCTGGTCAGTTCCCTTTTTAAAAATGTTGGTCACTTTTTAGATTAAAAAACAAGTTATTCTTTTGTGTGGAGCAAAGCAACCAGTTTTTAATGCCAGGACAGCACATATAAGATAAATAAGATTCATTTTTTCAGGAAAGTCTTTAAATTGCAAACAATCAAAATAAATATCCTATAGCCGTGATATGTTGGGGAAAATGCAAGTTGTAAAAATCTGTCTAATGTTCTGTTAAACATTTTTTCTCTAATATTTAAATATAATTCAACATTTTAAAAAAAAGTAGTAATATACCATAATCAATAATATGATTTAACCGATTTAAAACAGTGATGTCTCTACTAAGAATTTTTCTATATTTCAAAAGAAATTGAATTTACCATCTTTCTGGCTCATCTAATAAAAAAAAAACAGGAGTTGGCTAATTTTTTTATTAAGTAATGTAATAAATCCTCCATCATGGTAAAAAAGTTAAGTATGCCCTGATTAAATTTGTAACATTTATGCATGTTATACATGGATACATTAGTGTACTTTATTCCAACTACTTCTCAGATTTGAGTGATTTTAGGAAGATGTAGAACAAAAAAAAAAGCCATAGGAGATCTGATTTTCAGTTTGCCATAGGCCATGGAGAGAACACAGAAAACGTGTTTAAGTAGAGGTTAAAGTGTTTCTTATTAACTGACACGCAAGTTGCTGTCTGAAATACAAACAAAAAAATGACATGGCTTATCACATGCTGCAACATAGCGGTGGCAGCATTGGGCTGTGGTGACGCTTTTCTTCAGATGGTCTAAGTTCAAGGTAAAATGCTCTGAGTTTAAAACAGGACAGGTCTGGAAGAAAACCTGCCAGAGGCAGCTAAGGATTGTGTTGGAGTGAGCTGAGTAAAAACGCAAACCAAACTTACCAGATTTTTATTTGTTAAAAGCCACGTAAACATTGTTTTGGTTTTTTTCCAGGTCAAGATTATGCTCTACTTTGAGTCGCTCTATCATAGAAAATCCAAATAAAACACACTACATTTTGTGTTTGCTGGATGAAAAAATGGTGAAGAGTTAGACGTGTAAATATTTATTTTGTTAATGACTGGTAACATGTTTGTGCTCATGTGTTTCCTTTAAAAGAAGCAAACCTAGAGGATTAGAGCACAGTGCAACGGGTAAACTACATCTGAGCTAAAAGCTTATTACAAGAAAGACCTTTAAGAGCCTTAAAAGATCTTTTCCACCAGAGGAACAATGCAGTGCATTTAAATAATGGCTGAATAGTGCATTCATTGAGCTAAAAATAAATATGCAATAACCATGATTACTGAGCAAGTAAGGAAAGAGCTTTAGCCACAGACTCCTCCTCACAGGCTAGAAGGTAAAAAGCTGCTTAGAGAAACTTCATCGCCTTATGAAACTAGGAAACTGCTTCATATTCCTTGTACCTTTAAAAATAAATTATTTTTAAATGCTTTAGGACCCACAGAAAACAGATGGCGAGCACCTGACAGTGACACTTTAGAAAAACTCTGTTATTGCATAATACAGGGAAATGAGACTTTATTTTAAACTTCACTGCACAACTTTGGGAATAACCCACAGCGCTGTTACACGATTTCAGCCTGATTAGAGACCTCCTATTTCTCTTTATTAAAAAAGATATATCTAAAAAGATTAACAAAGCCCCACCTGGCACATTATCTTGATGTGGGAGACCCTCTTTACTCCATTTTTGTTTATTTCATCTGTCAAAACAGAGAGGACAAAGTCCCCAGGTTTGGACAGCGACTCCCTGACCAGAAAGGTCCCCGGCTCGCCCTTGTTGCTGAGCAGCTTTTCTGCATTTGGGCCAGAAAGGTGACCGTGGTACCACCTAAAGGGGAGGGAGACAGAGAAGCACAATGAGGATTCATTTAGAAAGGCTCTGAGCCAACGACTGCAACTCCCTACAGTTTCATGATGAAAACTTGTGGCTTTCATCATTAAACAATTTTAAAAACTCATGTTTACAGGAGGCAAATTTAACAGACAAAAAAAGACTGGAACTAAGCACAAACTTTCAATGTATAAATTGACTTATAAGCAGTTTAAGTGGAATAAGAGAACTTTATTCATGTAAAACGGGAAATATCAACAAACGGACTCTCAATAAGTCATAATAGGACCGGGTTGCCTAAGATTTTATCTAAGATCTTCATGTGACAGCAAGATAAAGTAGAATAATGATGAAAACGGCACATGCACAACCTAAAATACATGATAATATCTAGTTCTTTGTACAATGATGCACTGATCATAAAAAAAATAAAAAATCTGAAAGAAATGTCTCCTTCAAAAAAACTATCCTAACATGCTGATCGACTTGTGATATTTAAGGTTTACCTAAACATTCAACATTTATTAACACTCACACAACCAGCCAAAATTCATGCAGCAAAACGTTACAACAGCCTGCGGAGTCCTGACCTCATTTAAAGTTGCTTAAAAATATTTTCCATTTCAGAGGCTCAAAACTTTTTTTCCATCGTCCTCTGTCCTTTCAGCTAATAGCCTACATTCATTTTCCTCTGAGATGCCCTATAATACGAAAGCAGCTCAATGACACACAATGACATTTATGCACTCAGCCTCTCTGATCTTCAAAAGAAATCACTGATGAAAAATCATGAATCAAATATAACCCCAATGAAAAGATCACCTAAAATTCTGCTCTGCTAAACATATTTCTTCAGCAGTGTCAACAATTTCCTCCGTTGCACCAAAAGTCTACACAGAGATAAGCTTTCAAACATGATCGGAGAACAGATGCTGTATTTGAGTGCTCAGGTCCGAACTTCTGCATGACAAACCCCCTGCACTTTGTCTTTGTCTGCACTTTGTCTGCCTTATTTGGGTCCTTCGCTTCCTAATAATTCTAAGTTGTGGTCCATTTCCCGCTATATCCCTTCAGCTTTATGAGCTTTTATACACGAAGAGTTCACTTTTCAAACATGTTGGTCACTTTTTTAGATTAAAACAAGTTATTCTTTTGTGTAGAGCAAAACTGCCCAGGCTAGCAACCAGCTTACAATGCCAGGACAGCACACAACAGAAAACAAATAATTAAGATAAAATTCCTTTTGTCAGGTAAATTGCATATAGTCAAAATGAATATCCAATAGCGTTGAACCGTTGGTGAAAATGCAAGTTTTAAAAATCTGTCTAATGTTCTGTTAAACATTTTTTCTTAAATATTTAAATATGATTTAACATTTCAAATGATAGTAACTAGTAATATAATCAATAATATGATTTAACTGTCATGAGGAAAGTAATAATGTCTCTAATAAGATTTTTTTTCTTTATTTCAAAAGAAATTGACTTTAACATCTTTCTGGCTCATTTAATAAACAAGAGGACTTGGCTAATTTCTTATTTAGTAATGTAATAAATCCTCCACCATGGTAAAAAAAAGAAAAGTAAGCCCCCATTTAATTTTGACCTTTTATGCATGCTGTACATGGATACGTTAGTGTATTTTATTCCAGCTACATGTCTGTATAGTAATGCCAATCTGCAGCTTGTTGTTTTATGCACTTGGGGTTAGATTTGAGTAATTTTAGAAATAAAAAAAAATGTTACATTAGTTAGTCATTAATTTACAAAAACCCTAAAACTGATAAATGGTTTACTGAAGCATAACATGAGAAAAGATAACTTCATGTTTGTAGATTTTAATTTGCAGGCAGGGTAAAGCTAGCACTGATATAGAGTGTTGTATAATATCTCACAACTTCAACAGTAAAAGTGATTTTTTTTTTTCCCCCGTTTGTTTTCGGACAGGAGATGCAGAATGCAGACCAATTTTTTGGGGGGGAAGGTTAAGCTTCTCCATGGACATATAAATCTAATGCACGCTCTGACTCTTCCACATATTTTTATTCTGCATACTTTCTGGAAGAAAAGGTTTTGGATTTTTTTCCCCCCTGAACTTGCCAACTAAGAAACCAAGTTGACATTCTCCTGGACTCCCACAAACTTGGTACAGGGTGACAAGCAGTAGACACTGACTGTAGTGTGATACAGTCAAGGGTCAGCAATCGGTCCTTTTAAGGCTCTGCAGCGATGTGGCTCATTGCATTATGAGATCAGGGAAGCGACAGCTGCAGCACTGTAAATCTAATGCGTTCATGAATTAATTTATAAAAGGAAATCCAAACTAAATAAAAAAAATGCAGGTGGCGGTGCTATAACCAGATTGGATTTATTTTTGTCCACTGCTGTGCTGCGTACTTATTTGTACGTTAACTTACAAATGCAGCTTAAGTCTGACTTAATTTTAGGCACAGTTCTCGTTTTCTTTTTCTAAACTTCCTGCGTTGCGGTCGGAAAATTTCTGATGACAGATTTCGTGGCTGAACAGGACAGAGTATTTATAGCCTACCCCCATTCGATGTGTTACATCCACTAATACCACACCCCTTTTCTACCTTTTGCAGTAAATTAAGCTGCTTCTTGTTTTTTAATTAATTATGTGCAAGCCTTGGATTGAAAAATCCTTTCAGATGAAGTGAAGGGCATGCAATACTAAAGGAAAAAAAGGGTTTTTGTAGCATTTTGCAAAAGCTGCGAACTAGCTTGATAAAGATCTTTCATGTTAGTGGACAAAGTTAAATCTTTCTCAATCAGGTAGCAACTTTTTCTAGGAACTGATAGCAGGACAAGTGCATAACGAGGCAACCAGATGAGATGCATGCAGTCACACTGTGCTGAAACGGTGTCTGTGCTTGATGAGGAAGATAAAAAGTAACCAAGAACAAGATGGAGTGTGCAATAGAGGAAGGCAAGCAAGCAGGGTCTGGCCATTGCTTTCAAAAGTGTCAAAACTTAAAGTTTCCAACCGCAGAAACAAAAGGGAAGTTAAACAACTGTCACAGAGAGAGAGAGAGAGAGAAGGATGGGGGGGGGGTTAAAGGGTACAGCTACCAACTTGAGGTTCAGCCTGACAAAATGTAGCAGAAAATTCTGTCTTTGGTGCAGAGCTGCGGTGGACAAAGCTCTGCAGGTCATCACTTTATTAGCGTGCAGAGAAGCTTAATTTTTTCAACTTGGAGGAAAATCCACACTTCAAGCTGCAACGCCATGAGCAACATAAGCATAAAAACAAAAATATTAATTAAGATTTTTAATTTAGAAGGAATCCAAATCATTTTTTTTACTGTGGAGCTACTGCTGAATTATATAACATGCATGCAAACAGATGATCTGCATCATCTAAAGACTATATTTAGCAACAGCTAAGGAGCTGAATTTATACGTTGTGACTTGCGAGAAGTATACGTTTTAATTAGTTCAATTTAACATCCTTTTGAACACTGCTGATTAAATTACTGACACAAGTAATGCAGGTGCAAATAGCTTCATCCGTTGAAGGAGGCCTATTTTTATTTTTGTGCTTTTAAGGTTAAAAGTTATCTCCCTTAAATGTCTCCAAAGACAGAATACAAGAGACTTCATCCAGGTTTTACAGTGGTATCATGTATTTTTGTTGTTTGCATTAAAACACAACTATTGCAAATAAACTGTTTGGAGACCCGCAATTTAAAATTTCTATGTCAAATATGTTTTTTTTTTTCTAAAGTTTTATTGATACTTCATTCTATTATGAATACGTTTTTTTTTTTACCTTGTTTTACACATTAGACATGCTTTTTTGAGTCATGATGATTTTACTAAACATTTCACCTCATAAATGAAAACAAACTTTATAAATTGAATACTTTATTTAAAATTCCTGGATTTTAAGTAGTGTGTGTTTTTTAATCTATTTTTCACAATCCCTTATATTTACTTTGCTTAGCTTGCATAAAAAAAGCCAATAGAAATATCCCAATGTTTCTTTCAGAAGGCAATTTTCTAGTATAGTTGCTTTTATTCCAAATTAATATTGAGAAATATATTATGCTGCAGCATTCACAGAAAGTAATAACCATTTTTGTGACATTAAATATGAACACTTAAAACTAAATCATCACTTACACTTAAATAGGCAGACTGAAATACAGTAGCTTTCCAAAATGCACAAATTAGTGCCGTGCATATTTTCTCTTAAAAATTTTTAACCAACTCTTAGTGTTCTTGTGATGGGATTTGTTGTTTCTTAAGTTGCTTTAACCAGTTCTGATTCTCCTGATCCCTAAAAAAATGTTTAACATCACCTCACACCAAACTTTCAGTATTAATGATGATGTTTTTTGAGAAGGAATCTTACTGGACTATCAACTGAAGTCTAAAAAAAATCAGGTCTAAGTGAAAAATAACCCCAGAGAAATGTGACCAGTACAATGAAACTTCACACAAGTATCAGCAGAAAACTTTCTCAACGTGTTGCAAAATTAAGTTTCTGTTTTATTTCCTGAGATGCAATTTAAATCTTTTTAGAGGACAAAACAGTCTAAATGTGATATATTTAAGCGCTTATTTCTGTTCAGTTTTATGGTTTACAGCTAATAAACGAACATTTGTTTCTCATAGAACAACATCAGACAAATAAAATGATTTTCAGTAGTGAAATATTTAGTTTCAGAGAACTGATGTGGGAAGTTGGGTTGAAGGAAAAAGTGAGGTAGAAAAAGATGCATGGAAGACTTTTGACACAAAGGCCAGTGGAGGAGAATCACGTGGCATGGACTGTGTTTCAAGAGGGACAACCCACAGATGTATTCAGATGGGCTACAAATGTTATATTGCTTATTTTAAGCCGCTCTTGCATTTCATTTGGAGGAAGAGAGGAGAAAAGTATAATCCAAAATCTAGACCACGAGTTTCACCTTTTTATTTGGATAGCAAATAATTTTTATTGTGGCTATAACAGTCCTATGCATTGAGATTTTGCTGTATCAGAGTAAGACATACTGTAGCTGTGTTTCAGCTATACTATCAAACTGAGCTAGATGTAGAAAAACCTCAGCAGCTTCAAAAAGCTGGGTGTAAGATTACTGACTCATGCTATGATGAACAAAGATGCTAGGAAACCTTGAATCTCTTCAAATTTCTCCCCGCAGGAAAAGATTCATTGAAGACGTAATAAATGGACAAATGACGTTTATCATCCTTGTTACATAGACCGAGACAAGAGGAAATCTAACTGGTCAGAGTTATTTTTAACTCCACCACCAAACCAAATGTCATCACATCGTACATGAAAGTGAGGGTTCAGGCCATGTTCAGAGGACTGATACACAAAAACTCACTGCTGCTGCTGCTGGAACAATTTAGCAGGCCATTAACCCTGAATATTCTGTATTTACCCCGGCAAAGTTCTCTGGTAAATTTCAACAGTTAAAAAATAAAGCTCCTAAAAATCTACCAACAAGTAAGTCTGACTGTTATGAGCAACGAAAGTAGAATAAATGAACAACAAAATTTTACTATTTTAAGAGTATAACGTGCAAAGCAAATTATTTTCTACAAGAGTTTCTAACATTTAAGAAATGTATATATTAACTGGCTATAAGTAATGATATGAGGAAAATTAGATCCCAGATGTAGGACTATATAAATGCAACCACCTCATGGTAAAGCATGGCTGCATCAGTGTCATTTCTTGAGGATGCTTGTTTTAGCTGTATATAGGATAACATGTAAGGAAATGTTCAGATGAGAGGGAGTACAGACCTCTCTGTGGTGGGGTCAGAGCAGTTAACCGGGTACTTGAGCTCGATAATCGTCCCATCCTTGTCCTGAAGGATGCCATTCTCAGCAGTGTAGTAGTCCACCAGCTCTGATAGGGTAGCAAACTTCTCCCCACCGTACAGGTCGTAGTAGTCTCCAGTGTTTTGGATGCGAATGTGGGTGATTGAATCGCTTACCCTGAAGGAAATTAAACAGAATAAACTGTCAAAAGGTTTTTCTTGACTTATATTCATGAGAACAGTCTGCCATATTCTTTGCATTTAATAATAATGAGCTAACATCTGAGGAGCAATAATTCATTATGAACCATGACCAGGGTGTCTAAAAGGCTAAGCTACCCATTCCATTCAGTTCAGTTGGAGAAAACTTCTGTTCATGAATAATCCCAGCCAACAACTACAAACTCTTGACTATGCAAAAATCTTGGTTTTATATGAGAGGCAATCTGTTGCATGAATTACTATATGGTGGATACTTGAGCTGATGTTCCTCGATAAAATTACTCAGTTTAACCATTGCGGGCGAACGGAAATAAACCGTCAACAATATTCTCGAAAAGAACAATAGAAAAAAAAACAGTTAATGCAAGAGACAATCCCCTCATAAATCCGTCAGTTTTGATAACTTTTTGTTGATGAATGTAAATGCTCAATCGGTTTCCATTAAACTGATGTGTGAGAACTCCTACAGAGGAAATGCCTTCTCTGAAGCTGATGAAGGCACATTAATGCCTTACCTCTTAGAAGACATGCTCTAAAACAGAGGTTGATTTTACGATCAGAGAAGGTTCAGATATAAAATCATTTGGGTCTAAAGAGCAAAGGTGTCTCTTGTAGTCTGATATGCAAACATCAGATTTATGTGTAATTATTTCCCCTTCTAGATATCTGTAGTGAAATTCCCACGGAATGGTTTATGTTCAGACTGTAGAAATATTATAAAATTACCTCGTATGAATATTTTTATCAGTAATCTTAAGTTGTATTATATTTAGTAACATTTAACGTAAGCAGAAGACAGTAAGTCCAGTTATTACCTCACTGAAAGGGAGAAGTCACCAACATTTTTCTTGCTGGGCCGAGCCAAAAAGCTGCCATGGATGCCCCGAGACTTCAGGATGTCCTCGGCCTCCCGACCAGAGATGTCTCTGTGGAACCACCTGGATCACATGCAGTATAAATGCAGACAAATGCACTATGAACCGTATAAAAAGTTAAGATTTGATAAGCAGAGGCGTGTTAATTTTTAAACAGAGAAGACTCAGAGGTATATTTGTACAGATTCACCGCAGGATCCTGCTGAGAGATAACTAAACAAGAGTCTAACAGGCAGGTTAAGCTCAGTTTAAAGGCAAAACAAAGCTAAAAATGGAATCAACAATTTTAGAAGCGGAAATTGTTTTATTTAGATGATGTTTTGCTCCTTTATTCTCTATTTAGATAAACGATCCAAACCAGCATCACCTCTAGACGAAATGGCGATTACTGTAGAAAAAAATGGGCCTGTTTTATTACCCCTGCCTAAATCAAAATATGAAAGATATAAAAAAGGTAATTCCACTAAACTTCATAACCACACCCCATGGTCGTGGACATCGGAGTGTAATGCAGCTCATTGCTTCTATTTATCAAAATATTGGTTTAAAGTTTTTTTTCTTAGCCAAATTGAATCAAATCACCCTCTTAAATTTGAATTAGGTAACATTTTAAAACTCAGCCCCTGACACTCCGATGAATAATTTGATAATTTTTAGCAGATATTGGTCCCTCTAAGATGGTTTTCAAGTAAAAATGCCAGATTATCCTGCTTTATAACAGCAAAGTATAAAAACGTCTGCATTTAAGCACCTGGACAGCAACAGTATTGCAGATACTATTTTAACAGTCTAACACAGATAAATGTTAACAGAAACAGAGCAGGGACAGGCGATGACAAAAGAACATGAATGTTGACGATATAGACGTCTAATAAAAGATCTAACTTTGCATTTTTTCTTTCTGACACGTTACCTTGTCGAAAGCAGATCTTTTAACACACAGGGCTTGAGAAATCACATGATAGAGGAACAGAGAAGAATGAGTGAACGGCTGGCGAAAGACAAGACAAGGAGGAATGGAAACAGAGAAGTTCATATCAAGCAAACACAAAGAGACACGACCAGAGATGACTAACTGAGCGGTACATAGTCCGGCAGAGGCTTTGACTCACCGAACCATGGCGTCTCCTCACTTTTTCTGAGACAACAGAGAAGAAGTCACTTGTACCTATGCAACACTTAGTTTTAATAAAATAAGTATTTTCTTTTTTAAACCCCTAATCTGATAAAAATATTTTTAGCTACTTCCTTACTCCTTGTGCACGTTTTTACTGATGACTTTCTATCTTTTTGAACGTTTGCTCTCAGAAAGTAACTAGACCTCCAACACAGACATCTTTCCATCGATTATCAAAACCATCGCATCTATATCATGCTTCATCCTATCGCATTCTCATAACACCAATAAACCCTCCCATTCTCAAAACTTTGCTGCACCCTGACCTCCTCCTACCTCCACTTCGCCCCTTCCTTATCTTATTACAACCAAAAGCAGGTAAACACTTACTTCTCAGCTGCTCCTGAAAACAACTGCTGCTCGGCCAAGGAGTTTACACAAGTATACGTCTGTCTCTTCCCCCTTCGGTGTCGTTCGCTCTCTTCCTTCCTTTTTACGTCTCCTTTCACAAAATAGTGAAAGCAAGACAGGAACAAAAATAGCTGACAGGCCGGAATTCCTCCAGCAGATAGAGATGCCCCCCCCCTTCTCTATCACTCTTTTTTTTTAATGACAACCGCAACAAGAACTTGTCAAATCTGAGAACAGCAACAGTTTAGGCTCCATCACTGAAGTTTCCTGTGCAGACTTTGGCGCAAACAGCAAGGTCAGCTCAGGCAGCTCCATTCACCGGCAGCGACCAAACACTCCATCAAGCTGAACCGAAATACAACTATTAAAAGGGAAAAAAAGATCTCTTCCACAGCGCATGGATCTACACAATAACACACACAATAACACACACAGAGCTACCTTCTACCTCCCACCTGTCTGCCAATACTGCTGTTTGCCCTTTACTTCCAGGTGTGTATGAATGCACGCACAAAACACACAAAGGTCAGAGTCACAGAGCACTTCCTCATTTAGAATCTGACCTTCCCCCCCTCTGTAAAATGTGCCTGTGTGGGTGTGTTTATGCTACATAAATATTTGAAGTGGTAAACATTTAATCAAAATGAGTTAATAGATAAAGGCTAAATCTAAATCCGCTGATAAATATCAACCCAAAGCAAATAATATAGAAAGCTACAAAAGGGAAAAAGATCTGCTTCCTCTGCATACAAAATGTGTGCATCACTTCAAACATTTGGTTACACAGCAAGGACACATTTCACAGACAGAAAGTCTGTGCTTAATTTGCAAATTATTTTCATTTGCAGAAACACAGTTACATTCATGTAAAACTAGTTTTTCCATTTTAAAAGTGTCAGCATAATAATGTAAAGAAAGGGAAAACCAGAATAATATATATATATATATATATATATATATATATATATATATATATAGATATACACACACACACACACATATTCACAGATAGAAACTCCCACTCACACATAACAGTGGAGTTTCACCCTGCCCCCAGCAAGCAGACATACCAACACACATGCAGCCCTGCAGGTGTCGTCGTGGTTAACGCCAGCAGCTTGCATTGTATTCCTCCTTCGCTGTCTGCAACAGTTAGAGGTGGTTTGCCTTTTCTTCCCTTGTTCACAACTTAAGCAAATGCATGCACATGCAAAACTTACACTGGTTCAGCTTTCACAGCTGCAGGATTACAACGAGGATGTTTCCCATGATTATGTCATGTTTAATCAATTCTCTCACTGTTATAACCATCCAACTGTTGGAAAGCATGAAGACTGTTGCTGTTTTGAGGTTTGAATGCATTTGCATCCTTGTTCCTTTGTGATAATGTTCACACTGTCAGTTAGGGGAAAGATGTCACACTAAGGGAATACAATTACCATATTTAAGAAATAACTGATTACCACACAAAATTTCAGAATCAAATGTTTTGCATATTATGAAGCCTACTACCAGTTTTTTGTGACTGTTTAGTGGTTTTAACAGTCACTTTTCCGAACCTCCAAAATCAGTCCTTTTAGCCTATTCATGAGAGAGAC